AAAAAAGATATACATAGACATACATTTATAAAGATCCAGAAAGATATAATCTGAGGGAAAAAAATAACATGATGTTTAAAACATTTAACAAATGGGAGACTCAAGTACCATCAGCCAATCAGAATAAGCGGTAGGCTTAACCATCTGGCAAACCACCAATGTGAATGAAATGAATACCTGGCCATGAAAATAATAAGTATCAGCAAGGGATTGGAGCATTGATGGCCTTTAGCTTCTTTTTCTTACCTTTATTTTCTAATTTATTGAATTATTAGGTGCTTTAAAATGGGGGGGGGCTGAGGAGTCTATTTTTAATTATAAACATGGAAAATTACATCCTGTTGACACCACATTTCATATTGCTGTAAAATTCAAATGGGTTTCAAAACCCCTAACAGAATGCTTAAATAATAGATATAAGAAATGGTATACTAAAACAGCATTGAATTAGAAGTTAAAAATGGATAATGCTATAAAAATATTTCCCATCTAGTAGAAAGAAAACACGGAAACACCTATGTTAAATTATTTTAACACTTTAATATTTTAAAGCATTCCCTCTTGCTCCTATCCCAACTTGATTTCCATATAATTGAGTATGTTCAATGGGGGGGGGATCTTCCCTCCTATCACCTGGGCTCTCTGAAATGTCATAACTGTACAAAATTCATTATACAGTATTTTCCAATGGATATCATGACCTAGGCTGAGCTGCAGAATATAGTTGAGCAAGTCAGGAAATCAAACAATAATTATCAAACCCTGTATTTTTATATGTATTTTTAATGTGTTTTTATAACAAAATCACAGACTTTGACGAGTGTTGCTGCCTGCCTCACATGGCTACCATGGCTACCACAACCTCTGGAGCTTATCATAGTAACAAAATGTTGCTCTGAGCAATGCAGAGGAGGGCACAATTAATGCCTGACTAGTGGGCAGTGTCATGATAGATGGAGAAAGGACTGAAACTGTTAATGATTTCCTATCCACAAGCAATACCCTTGGTAGTAGCAGTCAGGAGCTAAAGAGACATATTGCTTCAGGCAAGTCTGCTGTTAGGGATCTCCCCAAAATACTGAAGAGCAGTGATGTCAGTTTGAAGACTAACATGCACCTCACTCAGATCATGGTCTCTTTGCAATCACTTGCTATGCATCTGAGAGCTGGACAATGAATAAAGATGACAGAAGAAGAACTGATGCCTTTGGGTTGTTGTATAGGAGTACTGAGCGTCTGATGGACTGCCCAAAGAACGAACAGGTTTATCTTGGAAAGGGTGTAGCCAAACCGCTCCTTGGAGACAAGGATAACAAAGCTTTGGACTTGTCTCTAGGAGAAGCTATTCCTTGGAGAGGATAGCATGCCTGGAAGGGTGGAGGGTCGGTGAAGGAGAAGGAAAACCCTCATCAAGATGGACTGACGCAGCAGCTGCAGCAATGAATGGGCTCATGTATTCTAGAGCTGGTGAGGACGGCACAGGATAGGAGAGATTCAGGGATGTTGCTCCCGGGGCTGCAGTGAGTCATACTCGACTCCAGGCACCCAACAACAGAAGCAGCTGCTGAGACGCTCTGGCCAGCAAATAATGACCAGGGATTCTCCTTTATCCTATTTTTATCGACAGAAAATCACACGAGGACCTCATCAGCGAGGAGCCAGAGGATGGTTTAGCAGCATGACTCCTTTTGAAAACCTAAAGCCCCAGGGTAGTATCATGCAAATCTGCACAGTCTCCTAACGTTGCTTGGAACTGCATCTCAAATGTGTGTGTTTAAAAGCACCGTGGCACACTGCGAGTTCACAGTTGCCTGTAACGATCTGCAAATCTCTGTTTTAAACCACATAGTTTTGTACTTGACTCTGGCGGTAACACGTGCACGTAAGCAGTTATTGCCTGATTGTTATCCTGGTTGTCAGGATGGTGAGTGAATGAGAGGCAGCAGCACTGTCTTCCACCATGTCTAAGCCTTAGTTTCTTCCTCCTCTGACTAAACCCAAGTGTGTAGAGGCGCTGTGTCCGCTCCCCAAGCCCTCCACGATCCTGTCTCCTGGGACCACTGCCAGCAGCAAAGACAGATGACAGCGCTCTGCATGGAGTAAAAGAGGAAGAGGATGGCAGCTTAAGTCACTGGGGGAGAGGGGGGTGGGGGGGAGTCTCCTCCTCTGGCGAATAGGGAGAAACAGAAACCGATTGTGCGAGGTGAAAGGTCAAACAGTCCCCAGAACACAACTATTGCATGTATGTGCGGAAGCACCTACGAAGCTCCCAGTGTGGCCTGTCTCCAACACAGTCAATTACAAATAACTTCACCAAATCCATCTTTACGCCAAGACTGCCGTCCATTCTCCACACGCAGATTCCACTCAGCTTTGCAGCTGATAAAAGAAATCAATGCTATGGGACAGCTTTCATTTTCCAAGATCAAAACACGTGTTACCTTTCTTCTCTAATTTTAACAACGGTTATTTGGGGTTTTAAAAATGATTACTATATGCCTGGACTTGTTCTAACCACTTTACATGTGTGAAATCATGTGACCCTCTTTATAACCCATTGTTGTGATGAGCAAAGCCTGATATGTCTCCAGAACCTGGGGTCATGGACCCCACACGTCCCTGGAGAATCTCGTGAAAAACTACTCCAGGATTCAGAAAGGAAGCTGGCACTAACTATACCTCAAAATGTTCTAAGAAGGATAAGAAAGTTGTAAAATTGACATGTGCAAAATATTTTGTTCTAATTGTAATATGGTGTCTGTGGGAGAAAAGGGAACTCTGGTAGCCTAGACGTGGCAAGAAGCTGCACTGTAATCACAAAGGCAGGCAGCTCAAGTCCACCTGCTGCTCTAAGGAAAAGGGTGGGCAATTCCCTCCTGTGTGATTAACTGCCTCTGAAAACACGCCGGATGGACGGTTACGGGTTGGGGCTGACTCAATGGTACACAACAACAACAACAACAACAACATGGAGGAAGATATGATCAGTAATCATAAGAAATGAAAACAGCCCAATGTAATTCTTTAGATTTTAAATATTGGAGAAAGGCATTATGCTTGGTAAAGAGTCAGCAGGAAATAATAACAGAAGACCCTCAATATGATAGGTTAGCACAAAGGCTACAGCAATGGGTCAAGCTCAAGAGCGTCAGAGATTGTGGGGACAGCGCAGGACAAAGCAGCAGTTTGGTTAGTTATACACAGTCACTACTAGTTGGAATTGATTCAATGGTATCTGACAACAAGGTAAATATCTAGGGCACATATCCGTAACTCCATCCTCCCAGCATGGTGTCCAAACAGCTGATGGCTACAGCTCTCCAAAGGGCGGCCAGCTATTCCAGCGGAGTATGATTCCGATTTGTAAGAGTTCTCGTGTCAGGCCATTTGGGGAAGGTGCAGCAGAACACGCCACTGCTTATTTCCCCTGAACCCACAACCATTCCCAGCAGTCTGCAGCTACAGCCCTTTCGTCCCAGGTTGCCAAAACCTGCTTTGCCTGCTGGCAAGGAGAACCAGAAGTGCCGCTCCAAAGCCGTCACTGGCCCATGAGGACAGCATAGGGGGATTACACAAACCCTAGTTTTTACTGTTCAAATCCACCAGGTTTGAACGCTGGGCAGTCTCTTGTGTAAAGATTTAGAGCCTTTGAAATCCAATGATGGGTCACTGAGTTGGACCTGACTTGCTAACAATGGGTTCATCTTGCTGAGAGAAGATCTCCAGTCTTCTCCCACAAGTGCCAGCCTTGTGCCTAGCAGCCAAGCAATGAACCTTTGCTCCACCAGAGGTCCTTGCAGTGGACTTTATGCCACTGAAATCTGCCACTCTGACTGTGCCTTCCAGAAACCTTATCAACAGGTTAACAGGGCAATGGAATTAGAACAAGTGACAAACTCTTACTTCTGGAATTGTTCTTTTCGTTTCTGAGCGAGGTATTTCTTCTTTATATTCAGCAGTTCATTGGAGAGTCTCTCGATCTCATACTTATATTCTTGGCTCTGTGATTCATACATATTCAACTCTGAAGACAAAACCTAACATTGCAAATAAGGCAGCATTAACATAAGGCACTAAGACAATATCCCTTTGCAATACCCCCCCCCTTGTAACATCCTTTTACCATTACCTCTCTAGCGGAGCTAGAGAGCAAAGCAAGGCCCAAACATAGCAGTTAATCTGCCCAGTTCTCCAGGTCCCTGAGTGAAAACTTGGCTCAGAGTGGATGACTTAAATAAGTGACAAACTTGAAATGAAACATAATTCCCCACTTAAAAGGAGAACTATTAGGCAACACTGGAACAGGCTCACAGATAAATGGTGCACTGCGTTTCAAAGAATATTATGAATAGAGACAGAAAAACTGCCAGACATATACAGGATAAAATTGCTTTTAAAGCTTTAAGGAGAAAGAAGAATTAAAGGAAAAACACTAAGGAGTGCGAGTCATCTGAGAATTGTGGTAAAAACTCTGCTGGAATTATCCTGACACCACAGTTAACAAGCCTTCAACTCATGCATTGTCAGAGACTGCTGGTCTCCACATCTATCGCATCTTCACTGTGTTGAGTCTGCTCTTTATCCCAGCCGGGGGACACTCACCTCCGAGGAGTAGGGTGCTCAGACATGTGCTTAATGGTGCCCAGCACACATGTGGAGCTAAAATAAAAAGCCCGATTATCTGCCTCCTTCCATGGGTGTGCCTAACACAGCCTGTGCAAGAAGCCTGAAGGCCAGGTGTGCACCCACAAAAAACAAGGGGAGTAAAGGAAGACTGCCACTCTACAGTGGAACAGGCTCTACTTCTTCCTCACCCCTCACCACCAACTTGATCTTGGTATCAAAGGGGGAATTTGCCTCTTGAATGTCCATTTGATATGACAATTTTCCTCTTAATCACTAGAAAAAAGGACTACCTTATCATATGCTAATGAATATGGTATCTTGTGCTAAAGACTGTGATTATTCATTCACACTAGAAGAAAACCTGTCTCACCAGCAAAAACTCTTAAGGACAAAGACCTCGTTTCCAAACAATGAACACAGAGCTAGAGAACAGACTAGATCATGAGGACAAACTCTCAGGCCTGCTCAGTACGGCCACCTCCACGCCTCTCCCTCAAGGCACCACACTTCATTCCTGTGAGAAGCTGGATTTTCAGAGATAAAGGTTAACTGCAATGCACAGGAGGTGTGAGGATCTGGCAGCACCAGAAAGTACCTTGTCTTTCTCATCTGTACCCAGCTCTGAGGAAAAGAGGAAGTATGTGCTTATATTGTTGGAAATATTCCATTTTTAAAGGAAATAAAAGAATCAAAAATTATGCCTTTATGCTGAGTAAAATATCTCAGTCACAAAAGGACAAATATTGCATAACAACATCGCTGTTAAAAGTCAGACTGACATGGAGGGTTGGGGCGAGAATAGAAACGGAGTGGAGAGATAATGAACCCTGCATTGGAACAGATGAGGGGAAGAACAGCCCAAAAGGAATCCCTGATTAGGTATTATATGTATGACAACAATCTGGAACAGGAGCTGCATTACAAAGTGGAGGAGGAGAGAGGAAGGGAGCAGAGGGAAGAAAATGTGCAACAATGAATAAAAATGTTAAAAAACATATTTTTAAGTAGAATATGCATTGTGAAAACAATGTGAGTTACGTCTCCAGAGACGCAAGCAAAATGAGCACCTAATTAATTGAAAATTAATTTTCTAATTAAAGCTGAAATTTAATATTCTAATTAGGCTTCTGTGTCATCTGCCTTTTTAAAGTAAAACGATGTGATTGTATAAACTCCTGTTTGTGAAGGAATCAGCAGCTAAACTAGTAACATAGCATTCATTTACCTGAGGCAGAAAGGCAACGATTACCGTTCTCATTGTACAGGGAAATGTCAGCATTCAGCTGGCAGGCCATGCATTCTGGAGGGAAGTGTGTGTGTAAGACTTCCCTGCTGTGCTACAAACATCTAAATATTCACTTAGTGAATGTTTAGATGCAGCAGGAGCTCATGATTTTTGAGACTTAAAAGAGATATGCATAGTGGTCAGGCACGGCAGTACATGCGTCATTTGGGATCACTTGGAAGGGAATTTATGCTAACACAGTGTTTCATTTTACCTCTCCTTCATGGCTTCTTACTTAACACCTCATAGTTAAACAAGGCTCCCCAGGCTGGGAAACAGGCTATGTTCTGTACGCATCTTTTTTTTTTCTTTCCTCTGGTGGAATGGACTAACAGAAACCTGTTTGTGTGCAGAGAGAGGTCTGTTGCCCTAGAGCAATGGTGTTAAAAGGTTTCCTCTAACTTCCCATCTAACCATCTAACTTCTCCAAGTCCTCTCAAAACCTCCCAAGCAATGCCACAACTGGGAATACACCTTAATGAAACCAGAGCCACAATTCAAACAGATGTATGTTTATTGCTCATGTTTATTGCTGCATCATTCACAATAGCAAAGAGATGGAAGCAAACCAAGTGTCCATCAACAAATGAATGGATAGAAAAACTATGGTACATTCAGACAATGGAATATTATGCAGCACTGAAAAATAGTGGACTCATAAAACATTACATAACACTGGGGAGCCTGGAGAACTTTATGATGAGGGAAACATCTCAGTCACAAAAGGAAAAACACTGCATAATACTGCTGTTATAAAATAAGGCAGATACGGGGAAGAGGGTCAGGGAAGGAAATGGGGAAAGAGTGGATAGATGATGAACACTGCATTAGAACAGATGAGGGGAAGAACTGTCTGAAAGGAATACATGATAAGGCTTTATATGTCTGACAATGATCTGGAACAAGGGGTGCATTGTGGGATGGACTGTGTGTGGGGAGAGGGGAGGAAGAAAATGTACAACATTGGGGGGAAAATGAAAATATTTTTAAACAAATATCACCCAGCCAAACTACATCTCTCAATTTTCATCCCATTGCTGCTATCCGCTCTCCAACCCCTTTCTCACCTGCTCACCTGACTCTGGAGATGGAGAACCTTGGAGGCTAATGAGGAGGGAGGCTTCTGTGATTCACCTGCGCTTCCTAAAGCAGCTGACCTCAGTGGAGCGTGGCATCAGAGAGGCAAGCCCACTGCGCTAAGGCAGCGCATTTGCCACATGTGTTCCCAGAGTGTGGGCTGCCATCAGCCAGGAAGGAAGGGGGCCACCACTTACTTTAAGCTGCTTGGTCTTTTCCTTCAGCGTGTGCCGGTAGATGTGGAGCTGTTCTGCAGCCTCTGGGCCAGGCTGTCGGGCCAAGATGTACTTTAGTTCCACATACAGTTTCTCTTTTTCCTGGTAGAGAAGGTGGAGGTAAGCAGACACATGTGAGCACAGTACGTGCTGTCGACAGGACTCCTTGGGGCAACCCTACTTCACAGCTCATACACCTCACACTTGGACTAAGTGCATCCCTTCCATGAACACATCACACCAGCCATTATCAAGAGCCAGGCTGGTACTCAGCATTTGAATACAAATAATATGACAAGCAAATAAGAGAAAGTCCCTCTCTGCATAAACACATGATTCTATGACTTTGAGGAAGACGGAGTGATGCCAAAGGTGAGCAGTGGTGTTCCCGGAGAGAGCAGGGATTCAAGTCAATCTGGTAGGAGTTGGGGAAGATCTCACAGATATGTCATTTCAATCACCCCTTAACAAATGGGAATTTCCCCCAACCAGAGGTAGAAAGGCAACACATTGCAGGCAAAGGCTGGGCACTGGGACAAGACAGCAAGTCCAGTTCAGCGAGTATAGAGGGCTAGGCGAGCAGGGAGGGAGAAGCTTAGAGGAAAGACCAGACTCATGGGAAGGACAGATTGCAGATACCACACTTAGGGGGTTGGACCACATGTCTAGGCCACGGACAGCCAGTGACCCATCACGACTGGTTTGCCAGAAGGAAAATGCCAGCACAAAGCTGAGAAAAAAATGTTGTTGTTATGTGCCATCCAGTCAGCTGCAACTGAGAGCACCCCTACACACAATAGCTCTAATCCCTGCTCTATCCCATGCCAATTATCTATCCCCATTACCCCTGTCACTGAATCAATCCACCTCATTGAAGGTCTTCCTCTCCTGCACTGTCCCTCCACCCTTCCAAGCATGACGCCCCTCTGCCAGAACTGATCCAGCCTTGTAACATGTCCAAAGTATGTCAGACAAAGCTTCAGAATCCTTGCCTCCAAGAAGCAGCCGGCTTCACCCTCTCCAGGACAAACTTGTTTGTTCTCCTATTTGCATTCTATCATCCCTAGTCATTGTCCAGCTTTCTTATGCATAGCAAGTAATTGCAAAGGCCATAGCCTGAACCAGGCAAACCTTAGTCTCCAGAATGACATCGTTGCTCCTCAGTACTTTGGAGATGTCTCTGACAGCAATCTTTTAATTTCCTGGCTGCTGGTATCAAGAGAGTTGATGGTAGAGACAAGCAAACTGAAGCTGTTGACAATCTCAATCTCTTCACCATCCACCATGAATGATGCTGCCAATTTGGCCAGTGGTAAGAATCTTTGTTTTCTTGATGTTGAACTTCAATCCATATTGAAGGCTGCAGTTCTTGACCTTCTGCACTTCCTCCTCAGTTCCAGCAAGCAGGGTTGTGTCATCTGCATAACATAGACTGTTGATGAGTCTACTTCCAATCCTGATGCTACGTTTCTCCTCATAGAGCCCAGCCTCCCATATAGATTGAAAAATTATGGAGATAGGACACATCCCTGATGTACACCTGATGTACACCCTTCCCAATTTTGAACCAGGCAGTGTGTTTCCCTACTTTGTTCTGATGACTGCCTCCTGGCCCAAGTATAGGTTTCATATAAGCACAATCAAGTGTTCGGGGATTCCCATGAAAAAGACACCCAAGCAAGCAGAAGAAAGCTGATCTAAGGTAACGAGGATGGAGAGCAGATGGACATGAGCATTTATTTGAAGTGGACCGAGCAGGACTTTGTGAACTGAGAAGGGAAGGAAGGGGGATGGAGGGACTCCAAGTCCCTCACGTGAGCAGATGATGGCAGTGGAGGCAGGGGAAGATGAACAGGTCAGGTCGGGGGAGAAAATAAGCGTTCATCTTCTGATAACGAGCAAGTTGGGACATATTAAATCTGAGGCCCATGGGATACCTAGGGGTGGAGTTGAAAATGTGGATCCAGGGTTGAGAAGCAAGGAACATGCAGGAGCTGGAGACGGATCACGACTGGAGTCATGGGAGTGCATCCATCAGCCAGATATTCAAAGAGAACCAGTCTACTAGGCCATGTAAGCATGTCAGGAAGGAACGAGAACAAGCTAGAAGTTAGAGTAAGTGAATGTAAAAACAAGCACGCAACAGCAAAACAAGCAAAGGGAGACACTCAAGAACAAAGGAGTGATTTGAGAGTTCAGTGTTTTCTGCTGGAGTAAAGAGAAGACACAGCAGAACAGAAATAGCGATTTGAGTGAGTTATTAAGATGTCACCATTGACCTAAGCTTAAAAGGTTGCAGTAACATTTTGAGAACAGAAGTCACATTGATTAAAGAACCCATCAGAACGAGGGTGTAAAGAAAGTGAGTCTTTGAAGAAATATTACATGAGATCTGCAATTGTTTGAAACTAACTCATTGCTGTCAAAAGGTAACCCAGTCATAGCCGACCAATCATAAGTGGGTTTTCAGAGGCTGTAAATTGCACAGGAAAGTGCCCATCTTTCTTGCACAGAGTCACCTGGAAATTCAAACTGCCAGAGAGGGGTCCACCTTTGAATTAGCACAATTTCCCATGAACCCGGACCCTGGTCATTTGAGGCGTAGGTAAATCTCAGCAAAACTAAGCCATGAGCATTTCGAGAAAAACTAAGACATAAAAATTTACAGAAATAAAAGAAAGGACTTTCTCAGAATTCACACCTTGATTTAAAGAAACAATAAATTATAAAGAATTCCTGCTCCTACTGTGAAGTGTAATTGTTTGTAAGGTGTTTTCAGATCCCTCAACTAAAGATACCACATAAGTCATCTCAATTCTAGCTTTTCATCTTTCTAAACTGTAATAAATTGAACAAACATTGAAAAAGACTTGTGTCTACTCATTAGTCTCTGTCTGTATTTATTTCCTTAAGGTAATTATGTCAAGGGGGCGGGGGGAATATGACTGGTACAAGCCCTCTCATTAAATAAAACTATGAGTCAAATGAAGGTGAATTTTTACCTAGAGCTAAGTATTCTTAGCCTTGTCATCAAACAATCTCATTTTGTCAGAGAACACAAAAAGGCATAAAAAATAGGTAGAAGGCAATGCATTAACCTGCAGTTGTTACTATTTGTTTGGGGTTCCCCCCCCTACTCTTTTCTGGTCGAATTACGCAAAGTCAATTACAAATACTCTAACTCTACTTAAAGAGGAGAGTTTATGCACCTTATCAAGCAGTTCCGGGTGGAATCAGCTTTTGGAGATGCCCTTAAAAATAATACTCACCATTGAAGAAGTAATTCCAGGAATGACAAGGAAACCAAAAAGCCCGGGCGCAGGAAGAAAACTTGAACAAACAGAATTACAAAGCGATGATTTTCCTTTGCTGTACAACACCTCCTGTCACACCTTACAATATAATCTTCACAGTAAATGGATATAGCAAGCAATGAGAACGATATCAGGAGGTGAGTTTATTTTCTATAGCCACTTAACACCTGCCCTGTTGGAAAAATAACACTTCTGACAAGGCTTCAAGATTCAATTTGAAGAAGGTAATAAATATGTGGAGAAGCCCATGCAACCATTTTGTTCATTTCCTCCAGCTCACCTTTCTCTGCACCAAAGTACAGGTAGACTTGAAAAGTAAAGACTCCACAATAATAAGAAGGAAGCAATCTGGTTGGGGATGCAATAATGTCTTAAATGGAAAAGGCCATCTTACTCCAAGAACCTTGAAATGTTTCACCGGCATAATTCTTTCAATTGCTCTTGGCGGTTAGGGAGGTGAGAGATACAGAAAAGATAAGCCAGAAGAAGCAAATATTGGGGAGCTCTGGTGGCCTAGTGGAAAGAAGCTGCACTGCAATCCCAGAGGCACACTGTTCGAATCCACCAGATGTTCTGCCAGGGAAGGAGGGACAATCTCCTCCTGTACTAGTCAGATTTGATTTGACGGTACACACACACACAAATAATAAAATAAAATTTTTTTAAAAAAGAAGCAAATATTGTTGCCTTTCTTCTTAAGTGAAAATCCCACAGTATATGAGAATCCCTTTGGTGTTTCCAAAGTTCCTGGACAAGTAAAAAGCCTGTCTAAAAGGGACATATGAATGGGTATTCTTGTCATTACTGAAGTCCAGAGTGAAGGCTGCCTAGTGGAGTGGACTTAGGGGGAGGGATTGTATAACAATGAAAGAGGTTTTTCTTTCTTTTCAAGAAGAGTGAATTGGCGGTGCAGACGGGGTGGGCAGGGAGAAAAGTGCAACAATGAAGGACTGGAAACCCTAAGTCTCTGTAAACTTCCATTAAAATCAATTAATAAAACAACAACAACAAACAAACCTAGTCAGATACTCACGAATCCCTTTTCCCATATGGAGATTCCTGTGGTATGTGAAGATGAGTTAGAAAGCTGAAAAATATCTATGTCAAATCAACCTGTATAATTCCAAAGATCACATCATAACACGAATGGAAGAATGAGGCCAGGAGGGAAAATCACATTTAAAGAGAGACTGAGAGTGTTAGAGATGAAAGCATGACTCGGCTCCTCCGTATCCTCCCCGACAATCTCTTTCCATACGATTTACTGCCTCTGAAAATCCACTGAAGGGTCAGCTCTGAGTTGATTCAACAGCACACAACAACAACAACAACATATCCTCTAATAGGAACTGCAATCTCCACGTATAGAGTGGATGATGTGTGTATCCTGGCTTTGTCTATCTCCTCTAGCAGCTCTGGTGTTGGTTCGAGTCTTTTTAATCCAAGACTGTAAAATAAATTGAAAGGGATTTATTCTAATGGATAACCAAGCCATTAAACAGAGGAGCCACAAATACGGAGAAGATTGAAGAAACTCAGGGAATTACCACTAAAATAGTCTGAGGATTCAAAGGCAGAATGTTCTGAGAGTTAAACAACCGAAAACAAGCGATACCTATATGCACAGTGGATGGAATAAATATTGAATGCACCTGCAGGGACTAAGACAATGGAATGTGTGAGGAGCAGAAGGAAGGGAACGGGAAGGATCGGAATGCATTGTCAGGCTTCAATACACGTCAATTTTGGTCTGTGCTTACAGTGGAAAATCTAATGTAACCGATGTGA